GAATATGGTCCTGGCATTAATAATTGCTAATAATGACTAATGAAGAGTTAATATGAGACTAATGTGCATGCTAATAAGCAACCAGTGAAGCCTCCGTTTGACTGAATCTGTTACCTGCACTTGGTCTAAATATAACACAGGATGTGCTAACGGCAAACAAATAAGTGATCCAAATTTAAACCAAATAGAAAAATCCTCTATAAGCGATGTGTGACTCGAGTTCCCCGATGGTAGCGTCCTCCTACCTGTCGAAGCAGAGCAGGGACACGGAGACGGTGAAGCCGGGGTCTCCGACCACCTGAACCAGCCGGGCCAGACCTTCAGCGGCCAGACAGCGCAGCAGAGGACTGCCGCTCTCCAGCGCCCCCGACAGGAGGGACAATGCTGGAGAACGCACCTCCTCCGGCCCCAGAGAGCCCCGAATACCGCCCTGGTGCTGAGGAGGAGGACACAGTTTACAGGTCTTTCAGCTTGTAGTGGACAAGAAAAACTAACGTATATGAAATGATGATAGAAATAACACTCAACAGCGAGCAGAGTGTGCAGAGAGCTCCAGTTATATGTTATGTATTTACACTTCACACACACACACTTTGCACACCTTGAGCAGACTGCAGAGGGCAGCACAGACGTGTGTCTGGACTGTCTGCTGCCGTTGACCCTTCAGCTGGTTCACCGTGTCCACAAACAGCTCCAATATCTTCACTCTGACCAACAGAGAGTTTGTTAGGTCCGGTTTGTAAAGATGATTCTCTGTGACTTTAACTAAGATTTCAGCCTTATTTACAGATTGTTTCTTACAGCATATCAGAGACATATTGCTCATGCAAACCAAACATTTCCTTCTGCTTTCTGCTTATTGTAAAATATCTATAATACGATGTGTTTACTAGCTGACAGTTAACCCGTACTGTACCGTATTAACGACCGACCTGCGCGTGCAGCTGACAGCAGGTGAGTTACCTCTGAGCGGAGATGATGTGGGGGAAAAGTGCTCCGAAGAGGCGGACGGCAGCAGCGGTCAGAGCGATGGCGGGAGGAAGAGGAGCGGGAGCGTCGTCGCTCCTCTCACACAGACTGAAGGCGTCGTTGTCCAGAGAGCCGCCTCCCACGCTGCTGCCATGGAGCTGAAAACCAAACACAACCTCAAGCGTTAACAGTCCTTCGGTCCCGTACTGTTTATAAAGCCCAGCTAGCGTTCAGCACACGTCACCTGTTCCTCGATGTATCTGTGGTCCGTGTCGTGGAGGGCGGGCCCGACCAGCGGCAGGTCGTCATGGTGACAGAGGGGGGGCAGCAGGGTGAGCTCTGAACACGGCTGGTTCAGGTTGTCCTGACCCGACAGATCAGTCACCAGCTGGTTCATCACCAAACCGAAGCTCTCTACAGGAGGAGGAGAAAGGTGAAGAACTCTGTGTCAGTGTACGGACATATGTGGGAGGAGACTGACAGAAAGAAACACACTTTGAACATACGATAAATATCATGAGCAGGATCAGGAACACAGACTGACGTCTATTACAGGCTGATACTGGAATAAAGGAGCAGGAAGGAGTGACGGAGGAGTGTTGGTACCTTGGTAGTCGAGTGGAGGCAGCAGAGAGAGCAGCTCGTACACTCTCAGTCTGTAGACGACCGAAAAGCTACGAACTGAACTGCTGTAAGACCTGACGAGAGCCGGCAGCCTGGATACACAGAAAACACACAACACACACACATAACACACAACACACACACACAACACAGATAACACACAACACAAAGAAACTCTGAAATAGAGATATTCTCAGAAACAAGGTTTTTTTACTTTTGTTTGAGAATTTATATTTTTACGGTTTTGGGCAGTGTAAAGTACGACAGCTAATCAATTAATTAATTACTTCATTTACGTACTTGTTATTAATATTTGTAAGTATACGTGTGGCAGATTGAGATTTTGTGGAATGTTTTCCTGTAGTGGGGGCCCGGGTCAGGTGGTCGTGCTGGAGCTGACAGCGGGAGGCCCGGTGTTCGGCTAGTGGAAGCCAGACGTAGCTGGAGAACAGTGGCCCCCTATCTCTTCTTGTGGCTTTCAGAGCCTTTTTTTGAAGGGGTCCGCAAACTAGCAACGGGGTCAGAGTGTGGCTGGTCCCGCGAAACTGCTGGGAAGCGGCTGGCTGGGCGCGTGCTGGAGGGGGTGGGGGCCCCGCGGACAGCCCAACTGGACGCGGTATTCAGATAGGTGGGGGTGGGTGCGGGGAGTAGCTAGTTATTATCTTGTGTTTGGGTCTTTTATATATATCGGGGGAAGCGGTAGTGTTGGGGGGCGAAACTCAGGGGAGGGGTGGGTGGGCTTCTCTTTGTGAGTGTGCTTACTGGTATATATTCAAGGGGGGAGGTGTGTGAGGACCAGTTAATTGTTTTTATTTTTTTGCCTTCCAGTGTGAGCTAGCTCCCAATGTGACAGGGTGGAGCCCCGTTGCGGGTCGGTAGTTTTTTTCCCCTTTTTTTGGTAGGAATGTGATGAGGATTATGCTGTCCGGAGGGTGTGCCCTAGCGGGCGGGGCCGGGTTCCTCCCCGAGAGCCCAGCTGGTTTAGACATTGCTTCTTTGGTTTGGGAGCGTTTTAGGGGTGGGAGGAGATGCCTGAAGAGGGGACTTAGCTTTCTCTGTCTGGTCAAGGACGTACGATTTATCGGAGGTCAACATCAGGTGGGTGGTCGCTCACTGTTTGGCCAACTGATTGAATCTTTTACAAAGTTTGATTTTATTGGATGCAGGGGAATTAATTTTGATCTCTCTCTGCCTCTCTCTCTCTCCGCGCTCTCTCTCCTTCTCTCCGCTCTTTCTCTCCTCCTCTCCTTCCTCGCTCTCCTCGCTCTCTCGCTCTCTCTCCTTCCCTCTCCTCTTCCAGGCCTGTCGTGTCTTGCGTCTCCGGACCGGCGTGGGCGTGTTTTCCTTCAAAAAATGGTTGTGGCCGAGGACGGGTGTCCCCGGCTCTTCCTGATCCCTGCTGATTGAGCTTTTGCGTCCCACTCGTGCATGGGCCACGCAGTTTTTACGTCTCGTGCTTGGGGGGGGGGGGTTGTATGGGGAAGCCGTGGTGAGCCGGTGTTGCGGCCGTGCTGCGTCCCCTTCATCCTGAGTGAGACCAACCTGGGGTCTTCATGCTTGGGAAAAGAGATAAGGCCTCAGACAAGCGCCGCAGTCTAGCTTCCTGCCTCGCTGTGGCGGCGCAGAAAGCGAGCCATCGGTGAGCAGAGAGGGCGAGGAGAAGAGGGGGCTCTATATTTTTTATTTTATGGACACATTCCTAGACTCTCTTTTTAGAGGATTATTTTTTTTTTATTTTTTGATTTGTTGGATATACGGTGACAACTGTGGATATGGTATGTACTTTCCTTTTATACCAAGTTGTAGCTTACAGGGTAGGAAGCAGCGTGAACTTGTTTGTGTTCTATTCTAGGTAGGGATGGGATGGTTGGGGAGAGTTGATGATGATAGATGGATGGGGGAGTGGAGATAGGGGTCTTTTTGATACCTTTGTTCATAGGGGGGTGAATTAGATACTTTATTATATGTGGCTTTCAGGTGTGTGGTGAATGGAGGGGGGGGGTTCAAGCAATAGTCGCCGTACGGCAGTATGGGTCAACTATATCAGTTTTAAACAGTTACAGGTGGTTATTGCAGTATTAAAGCCAGGCTGGCCTGTACCTGAGTGGCACGTTACTATCTGACGTGTGTGAATTTAGGTCATGGATAAGTGCGGGAGCGGCGGGTGTACCGTCCATGACTCCGTGTGTTTGTTACAAGACGCAGTCTGCTGACTGGGACTTTGTGGAACTGTGGAGAACCCCGAGAGTGGGTGGCGTTCCTGCGTTGAGTACGTTCTTCAGCTCAGGTCAGCCTCAACGGTGTTTGGTCGCTGTCTCTTTGCTGGGAACTGGGAGGAATTCCATACAAGGGGAGCTGTTGGAGTCCTTCTACGGGGCGGCCGCTGTCGGGCTTCTTGTTTGTCTTCCCTCTCGTTTTGGGGGGACGGGGGACATGTTATGCCGTTACAGTCTGACATATCACACAGGGTGTTAAGGCACAGGTGGTCGGGTCAGAAGAGACAAAACAAGGATCAGAGGAGGTGTCCGATGAAAAGGAGGGAGCTGATGATCCAATAATTGGCTCTTTATTATTAACGCTCTGGTTGTTCTGTTGTATTCTTCCGAGGGTTCCATAGCTGAAGGGTTGTAGTCAGGGAAGAGTCTTGTTTGGGGTGTATAACTGAGGTAGAGGTATAAAGAAGCCTGAATCAGATAATTGGGGTGTCTGTAGTGCATGAATTGGGTATTATTGTACAGCCCTCTGGACATTTGGTGGTCTCGTCGTCCTCTCTTCGCGTGGGGGTGTTTTTTGTCGTTGTTTGTTTGTTCTCTCTCTCTCTCAGCCGTCTCCGGGGTGTCGGCGCGCTGTTTTCTTGGCTCTTGCGGCGCCTGGTGCCATGCGGAGCTGTCGTTGTCTTTTTATTTTGGCGATGCCGTCCCATATTGGGTTCCTTGCTGCTTGGTATCCCTGGCGTCGTCCGAGGCGGTTTTTTTGGGCTGGTGGGTGGCGTTTTGTAAGGGGTTCCACCTGAAGCGTGTGGGCCGGGGGGCCGGGTACGGAGCCGCCGTCCGGCCGTGTGTCTCTTTTGCTGTTGTGTCTCGCAGTGCGAGGGCACTGTCCGCGCGCGTGGGGATTACCGCTTACACCATCCAATTTTGAAGGCATGGTGTGTGTTGAGGAAAAATCTTTTGGGGTTATTATGTTTTTGGGAGGTGACATTTGGGAGCGAGGGTTTTGGGGTGTGTTTCTCAATATTTTTGTTTAATTTACTACTAATTCTTTTGATATACTGCTTCTCCCATTTTTCCTGAAACATTAATTACACATTAAATCTCTCTGATTCTCTCCTGCCGTGGCAGGGAATTGTAATATATCTTCCTCTTCCATTATAACAGTTTTTATATCCTTTGGCAAATCACTGCATGTGCGTCTATAATCATAAAACAAACTGCTGATCAGCTTAATGGGAGGGTACAGCGGTGAAGTCCGTAGGCGAGGGGGGGGGTTTCAGTAAAAATACACCAAAAAAAAGTATATACTATCTTTTTCTGGGGGGGCGTTGTTTATAAACATACAGTTTCCCCAGGAAGTAAGTACAGTTTTAATCTCCAAAACCAATTTCATATCTTTTCCGTCATTGTCTTTTGATGAATTAAAAAACCATGTTCTATCATAGTAGCGGGGTCAAATGTATCAGAAAATTATACTCTTGCCTTTTTGCTGCGTGTTGCAGTTGCTCATCTCTCTCTCTCTCTCTCTCCTTTGTATTTTTTTACCAGTTTTTCTGTACGCAGTTCTGCCAGCTCACAAAGCTATGTGTTTCTTTGTGATAGGGCTGTTATTTTTCTTGTTGCTTTGTTGATATGAACTGCACCAGCTCAAAAATCTAGGCTGAAGGCAGTCGAAGTACTTCTTGTTATATCCATTACTGGATGGAGCGAGCGGATATTTGTTGGGTCTTGTTGCCTAGAACTCATTTGTGTTTTATTGTAGCAGTATACTTTGGGCCTTGGAAGTCAATGCACTGTACTATCAGTAATGTATTTTGGTTCATATTACATATCTTCAAAGAGGTTTGGGGTAAATCGTGATCAACTGTGCTTTCTTCCTTGTCTTTGGGCTTTGGTCTTAGTGCCATAGATGCACTCTTTTTTGGCTTGTACATCCACTAAGCAATAATTTTCCCTCGTTCACCAACCGCTTTGGTTTTTTTTTATGTTTGGCTCTCTCTGTACTGTGCTTATATTATATGTGGTTTGTGTCCACATGAAAGTGAAATCGAATTTTGAGTGGTTTTGTTTTGTTTGAGGTCATATGTACGGGAGGGGGTCTTGTTGTGTCTCTATATATATATTTTGGTGAAGTTTTTTGTTTCCACTTGTGTTTACCAATATAGGAATGACATATGTGGTCTTTTTTTAGATGTGGAATTATTTTTACTTCTCCTTTGATCTTGTATAATTTTTGTGATGATTCCGGTGTTCATTCGTGGTTTTCTGTCTGATGCGGGACGTGGGGTTATTGTGTATCTATGTTGTTCTCTTATCATTTACCGAATAATTATGTTTATTTTTCTTTATTTTGTAATCAGGATTAGACGGGGCGGGGTCATTTTTTTTATTTTTTTTTTGTTTTATCTGTTCTCCCCTTGTTTTTTGTCTTCTGTGTTGGCTTGATTTGGAGTCAAAATTCGAGGTTGGCGGGGTGGCTTATGAGGTCTTTTTTTTTGTCTTTCGGGCCATATCTTGAAACTGTGTGTGCTTGGGGTGGTGTGTGTTATGTTGTGGTCGCGGTCTCGGGGTCCTGGGGCTGGAAGACCCTGCTTATGCGTTCTTAGGATCCTCGTCCTCAGAACAAGTCGGATCTCTCTGCCAGAAGGACTCGTGTTGCTCTGGTTCTTGGTCTTTTCTGCTTTTTTTTGTTCTCTCTTCTCTCTTTTCTTGTTTACCTGGGGCTTAGGCTTTATTGCAACTCAGAGCCACCTGAAACACTGCTGCTGTTATATATTTTTTATTTATTTTTTTTTGATGGTGTGGAGGATGTGTTTAATTTTGTGTGTGTGTGTGTGATGTGTTGGTTTTGTTTGTGTGTGTGGTGTTTTGGGTGGTTGTGTGTGTGCTGTGTGTGGTGTGTTCAGGCCGGGCGGAGGCTGTAGTGGGGGAGCAGCCACCTGTCTCTTTCTTTTGGCCTCTCTCCCTCCGCCGTGCGCGCGTGGTGGCGGCTGTGTTGTTTTCCTTTTTTTGCGTCTCTCAGGGGAGGCGAGCGGAGATGGAGCTGCGCCGAGGAGGTACTGACTTACGTGGCAGGTTAGCTGGCGGCTGGATGGGAACGAGCCGGAGGCGCTCCCTCTGTTGCCGTCTAGTATCCACACACCTGGTCTCGGTCTGTCAGCCGCACACCAGGGGAGCAGAGCAAGTTTACAGACAGAACAGATAGGGTTTACACACAGACAGACAGAGTGTTTTACACACAGCAGACGGAGACGTTTTGACAGACAGACAGGGATCGAGTGTTTTTTACATCTCACAGACAGACTTGTATCGTTTAACTATCACCACGGTTTTGGACAGACCCAGACAGTTTTACAACCAGACAGACAGACCAGTTTACACACAGACAGGATAGTTTACACCACAGAGCAGAGCAGAGCAAGTTTACACCAGCCAGACAGAGCAGACAGGTTTACACACCAGACAGAGCGGGGATGTAGGGGTTTTTTACATCGACTGTATGCAGACCAGAATAGAGTTTACACACCCAGACAGACCACGACAGTTTAACACAGACAGACAGACAGTTTAACACACACGACAGACAGACAGATTTCACACAGCAGATCGAGATAGTTTACAGCAATCTCTCATGACAGTTCTTATTCAGTTTACACCACAGACAGTATCAAGGCGTGTGACAGTTTCTCTTTTAGTATTATAGTAAACTCCTCTTGTGTGTGAGGCAAGCGATGAAGACCTGCTGGCTGCACTGCAGAGAGCTTGTCACGATGACGTCATTCCAGCCGCCTGCTCACGCCAAAATATATTTTTTTTTTTTTTTGGCCTTTGCTCTGTGTTGCGGCGAGCCGGCCGCTCACCAGTCAGTTCCTGAGGGTGTTTTTGGTTTTGTATAATTCTACGCATGTTTTTAGTTATTCATTCTCTTGATAATGCTTATGTGTTGGCTAAACGCTTTTCGCCTTTTTTTGATTGCTATATTTAGCTATTTCAATTTCTTTTGCTTTTATAGGGCTGATTTTTATGTTTTTATTTATTTTTGGTTTAGGAAAAGTGTATTTTTATAACAAAGCTTGTGGAGAAGTTTTCCTCATGATGGTGAGCTAGCATCGTAGCCGCATAATCAGAGTCAGTATCTTCTCCTGTTCGAACTCCCGCCACTGAAACCCTTGTTATCTGTGTTGTGTGGTGTGTGTGTGTTGTTGTGTGTTTGCTGTGTGTGTTGTGTTATCTGTGTTGTTGTGTGTGTGTTGTGTGTTATCTGCTGTTGTGTTTATGTGTGTGTGTGATTGTGTGTTATCTTGTGTTGTTGTGTTATCTGTGTTGTGTGTTAATATGTGTG